TCTGAGCCTTGTGTCTGCTGTGTAGAACTACAAGACCTAGCATCCTCAGAGCTCTCAGGAGCCTGCACAGATTCTGAGTCTTGTGTCTGCTGTGTAGAACTACAAGACCTAGCATCCTCAGAGCTCTCAGGAGCCTGCACAGGATCTGAGCCTTGTGTCTGCTGTGTAGAACTACAAGACCTAGCATCCTCAGAGCTCTCAGGAGCCTGCACAGATTCTGAGTCTTGTGTCTGCTGTGTAGAACTACAAGACCTATCATCCTCAGAGCTCTCAGGAGCCTGCACAGGATCTGAGTCTTGTGTGTTAGAAGGCAGTGAGACAGTGTTCCTTCTCCTACGTGCAAGCATTATTTTAGCCCTTTGTAACAATTTAGCAGCTCTTTTGCGCCAGTAAATCTTTCCTGTGATAGTTTTTTTACCCCTTTTCATTTTATCTCTTTTGGGCCTCTGTTTTTCATCAGGATAACCCAAACCTGTTTGAATTTGAGATGACTTTAGACATGAAAAATGATCCATTTTTTTAATCACTTCACGTATTGATTCCAGGTCAGGCAAAACACCCATAATACGAATCAACCGCTTTTCCCAATATTTAGAAATCATTATCATATTCACAAGCATTTCGATTTTCTTAAACCAATCAACAATTGTTGAAGTATTTAAAATAGGGCATGCATTTTCATCAATTTCAGGTAACTCTTCCTTCACAGCATGGGCTTTCACTGAATTTTTGCTACCTGTCTCTTCAGCAAGCTTGATCTTCTTCAATGGTAGATGGCTCTGTGGATTAATTCCTGGCCCCTCGTCAGCCTTGGAGCGCTTCAATGGTTGCTTTTTTGTGAAGTTGCTGGGGTTGTTATTTGATCCTGCAGCAACCTTGAAACCTTTGGATGTACTCGGCATAGGTTGATCTAGAAAGGAATAAACAATAAATGTGAAAAGGGACATCCCTCTCCCTTTCCCTCTCTCTCTCTCTCTCTCTCTCTCTCTCGCACACACACACACACACACACACACACACACACACACACACACACACACACACACACACACACACACAGTTTAAATGGATTTGAAAAAAGTGTAAATTACTTTAATATAAGGCAAAGGAACGGTCCCCATAACCTGTTAAAACAAAGGCCAAGCAAAAACACATGTATGAAAATACCTCAGAACTCACCATTCTCATTGTTCTTTCTTTTAAAGGCAAAGACACGTTTCTGATTCCTGGCCACTAGAGGAGAAGATGTCTTTACTGGTTCAAAATCATCATCCTGAAAATACTTTTCTGAAAAAAGATATTTCTATGTTAAATATGATATTTAAAAAGCTGAAACACCGGTCTTAAGTCCCCTATATTATGACAACACTCACCCAAGGAATCTGAAGATAAAGTAGGTTCATGAATTCTGTTTTCTTTGCGCTGATCCCCTGCAAGAGAAGGGGGACATGTTGAGACATGTCTGTGGTCATTCACATTGTCAAACTATGTTATGAGGAACCAGTCAAAGTGGCTTCTTCAGAACGGTGGGGTGGGGACATGTCTGTGGTCATTCACATTGTCAAAGAAGAACACGCTTATTACAGCTGGGCTGCACCTTGGCTAAAGGCTAGATTCTTTAAGTAAGAGATTTTTACCTCCATTTAACAACATCAGTACTGTTTTTATCTTCTGTAAAGACATACAACACATTAAATGTGACTCTCTCTCTTTCCCTCTCTTTCTCTCTCTCTCTCTCTCTCCCTCTCTCTCTCCTACAGGAAAGAGGTTTAAACCGTTTTCTAAGACAAGATTCTAACCTGCAATCAAAATGGTCTTATTTTTTGGCTACGTTGCTTGTAATACCTAAAAACCATTTCTGTAACTATCAGTAAAATAAATTACAATTTTAAAACACGGATCTGTCTTATGCTACTTAATGTAACAGAACAACAACTTTAAAACAGACATTTTCTCACCTTTGTAATGAACCTGGGCTTTGGTGATGAAATTCTAGAAAGAAAAAGAGCATATAAATATTTGCTGTTCAACATACCTTATTGTTTTAAAATATTTCATTTGACATAGTAATTATTGAAAGAGTCTTACCTTAGCCATATCTTCTGTGAGGCAGATATAAGAAATCTTATAACAGCAAGCATCAGCTTTGACCATTCACAGTTTCAAGAGAGAGCAAGCTCTGTGTATTGTGGCCTCTGATCCCGTCAGACACGAGGGATATCCCCCAAAAACAGAGAGAGCTTTTTATACCCTCTAGCCTTAAGGGAACGCCACATGGGCTAACATGTAGTTCAAGGGTTTGGTCAGTATGCATTCTATAGATTAGAAAGGAGGGGGGTTTGGGGTGCCAAAATACCAGCACACCTCCACCCTTCTTATCGAACCTTGCACACATGCACCCCTTTTTCTTGGAAAAGGTCTTAAAACATGTGCTTTAAAGAGCCATGCTGCATGCAGGCAGTTATAAGTCATGCTATTTTAATTTTTAATAAACCTACTAACAATTAATATTGTCAATCCCAATTTCTCTGTGTTAATAATGATATAACAACATAACAGATCATTTAAAAAGGTTTACTGTATTTCATTCTTCAATAACACAAACCAAACAGTTTTAAAATGCATGCTGAGCATTTCTCTGTAAGGTAACAGAGTTTCATCGGCCATAAAACTATACTAATATCTTATTTTTACCATAATAATGACTAGGGTCTCACCAGTCAGAGAATGATTCTAATATTAGTTTAACCAGAAGGTGGCACCATATACCTATAAGTAGAATGTGCCCCCCTATGCCCCGAGCTTTTATACCCTCTAGCCTTAAGGAAAAGCCACATGGGCTAACATGTAGTTCAAGGTTTTGGTCAGTATGCATTCTATAGATTAGAAGAGCAAAGGAGGGGGTTTGGGGCGCCAAACTACCAGCACACCTCCACCCTTCTTATCGAACCTTGCACACATGCACCCCTTTTTCTTGGAAAAGGTCTTAAAACATGTGTTTTAAAGAGCCATGCTGCATGCAGGCAGTTATAAGTCATGCTATTTTAATTTTTAATAAACCTACTAACAATTAATATTGTCAATCCCAATTTCTCTGTGTTAATAATGATATAACAACATAACAGATCATTTTAAAAGGTTTACTGTATTTCATTCTTCAATAACACAAACCAAACAGTTTTAAAATGCATGCTGAGCATTTCTCTGTAAGGTAACAGAGTTTCATCGGCCATAAAACTGTACTAATATCTTATTTTTACCATATTAAATGACTAGGGTCTCACCAGAGAATGATTCTAATATTAGTTTAACCAGAAGGTGGCACCATATACCTATAAGTAGAATGTGCCCCCTATGCCCCGAGCTTTTATACCCTCTAGCCTTAAGGAAAAGCCACATGGGCTAACATGTAGTTCAAGGTTTTGGTCAGTATGCATTCTATAGATTAGAAGAGCAAAGGAGGGGGTTTGGGGCGCCAAACTACCAGCACAACTCCACCCTTCTTATCGAACCTTGCAAGGTGCACCCCTTTTTCTTGGAAACAGTTGCAATAGTACGTGCTTTTAAAATGTATTGTCATGCTGAAAAGTAGCACTTATAATTCAACCTTTTTGGATAATTAATAAGCAGAAGTTTCTTAAAACAAGCATGAAAAAAGCAAAAATCAAAGGTTATTAATCCGTGTCTTCTTAAGACAGCTGGCCTGTCAGTGTGTGTAAATTCAAAACCATGAGGCCTTAATGACTCCTCTCATGAAATATCTGCAATAATGTCTTTAATTTTTTTATGAAGTTTTCAGAGACATAGACCATGCTGGGGTGGGCTCTCTCTAAATAAGAACTACAGAAAATGCTCCTATGGTTATTAAAAGACTGGTCTGTTCAAAATAAATATAACAGCCAGTGATTATGGCTGGTGTGGGAACCCCCAGAAAGTCTAATAATCCATGACTTCTTAAGAGAGCTCCCCTAACAGGGTATATAAACCCCCAATGAGGCCTTGATGGAAGGGGGGTGTTGTCCTGTTCCATATTCTCATGAAATACAGTATCTGTAATAATATATTTAATTGATGGAAGGGGGGCTGTTGCCCTGTTCCATATTCTCATGAAATACAGTATCTGTAATAATGTCTTTAATTTTTATGAATCTTTCAGAGACAAAAGCAGGCTATAGATGTCTCTGCCTATTCTGCCAAAGATTCTTAAAATTACGAAGTGACAATAGAAGATGTGGGGAACCACTTCTAATAGGCAAAGGCCTCTGAGTTTTAAAATGCAGGCTGAGAAATGATCAGCCATAAAATTATACTAATATATTATTTTTAAAAGAATAAATTACTAAGGGCCTCCAGGGCAGCAAGCTCATACTTGCCCTTAAAAAGTTTATGTATCCTTCATTCATATTTATAATTAATAAATAATATTACCTATGTAAGAGGAGCCTTGTATGCTTCTCATATTATTTCTCATATGTTTAATGAGATAAGCTGGGATGCTGAGGGCGGGGGGGGGGTAACCCTTACCTCCCTAAACACCCTTCTTATCGAACCTTGCACACATGCACCCCTTTTTCTTGGAAAAGGTCTTAAAACATGTGCTTTAAAGAGCCATGCTGCATGCAGGCAGTTATAAGTCATGCTATTTTAATTTTTAATAAACCTACTAACAATTAATATTGTCAATCCCAATTTCTCTGTGTTAATAATGATATAACAACATAACAGATCATTTAAAAAGGTTTACTGTATTTCATTCTTCAATCACACAATCCAGGTAGTTTTAAAATGTGGGGCTGTGAGGCTAACACTATACCCGTAGCTATACCCATAGCCTGTCCTTTCAGGGGGGGGGGGCGGAATTTAGGCTAAACTGAAACAAAATGTATAGTGTAGATTTAAAACAGACAGTATTCCTCAGTAACAAATAATTTTGTGAGGCAATGCTTCTGTGGTTTAATAATATAACACAGCTCTTTTTAAAAAAAGGTTTATTTCATATTTCAAGGCTTCACACAGAAGAAGTTTTTATAATCCTGCCCCTTAACCATTCTTAAGGCCTCTCGTATATACGGCTCATCGCCACATTTACATAATTTCAATAAATATGGATAGGCTTTTCGGGAGGTTTGAAAAATACTCAGAAGGTTATTTAGTAACAACAAGCCCCGTTTTGTGAGTAGAAAAACCTGTTTCCTATAAGCAACTAGCATAATAATATACAAAAGTTTTTTAAAACAGATTTTTACACATAACGTATTCAGTATTTTAGAAAGATGGTCTTGATCCTCGGAAAGACAAGTATGATCTTCTTGGCCTGGCGATTTTTCTCTACAAGCTGCACATTGTTTCTGCACCACAGCCATCAAGCAGTGTTTCAGGACCCCATATAAGCAGCCCCTTATTGTTGACCGCATGGTTTTACTTTTCTTTTTCTTTTTCATAGGAAGGCCGTTGTCTTGTAAGCGTCTTGACTCCTGAAATGAAAAAAATCAAAAGAGATCTTTTAGAACACAGAGTCATTCTATATAGCAAAACTGACAACTGTCAAGCAACCCCCCCCCCTAAAAAAGGGGCTACCTACCATATCTATAGAAGGTTCCACTGTAGTATACGACATTTCCATATTATGCCAGGCCATGTCAGGGTCATGAAGACATTGTAAGGAGACGTTTGTTGTATCCTCACTCTCAGACTCTGTACTCATGTATCGCTTTCTGGGATTGGGCCTCCCCCCATCCTTTTGTTTCGCCTCAGGCATATGTTTATCCTTATCCGCCATTGTCTCCAAAACAGCTCCCTGTGTCGCCAGCACACCGCC